AAAACAACGTCTGACGAGCCCCGGGGCAGTGGGCGGTGCAGCTGCGCTGGTATGTCGCCTGAACTCTGCTCTGACCTCACCCTGGCTCCAGGTACGTGTCTCACGTCAGGCTGTGATGAACGCTGCACCAGAGACACATACCAGGGACACTGGGACGATTACCAGGGGGAACTCAGTGTTCAGTTCAACGCTAACACCTGCGCTAATGGGACTGGAGCCAAAGACGAGGATCAAACTGAGGCGCCTGGGGCGTCTTCTGTTCGCCCGGAGAAGTACTACGAATAAACACCAGCGACAAACCAGCGAAGGCAACAGGTCGTTGCCTTAAACCAGTGTCAACGTCAACTTTATTCAAGAGCTGACACTAAATTACACACAAATACACGTGTGCGTCCTTTATATGACACGTCCTATGAAGATAAACTGGTCCTCACCTGGTATATAACCTGAATTAACACAGTCTCTGGTCAGTTCTCAGGGGGGGTCAGGGGGGGGTGAGGATAAAAACAATAACGAGGCAGGACTGAGGGAGGCAGAGGGGCACCAGGTGACACCAGTGACACTGAGAGAGAGAGAGAGAGAGAGAGAGAGAGAGAGACCTGGCATCTGCCACATAATTCTTCCTCATCTGGACCAGTGGTCCTCAGGTGAAGGTGGGCTGACCTCCAGGACAGGTATCGTCCCATGGACTATCACCTCATGGTGATACTATAGTCCATGGACTATAGTCCATAGTCCATGGACTATAGTCCATGAGGTGATAGTCCACCAGACGATAGTCCAGGAGATGATAGTCCATGAGGTGATAGTCCATGGACTATCACCTCATGGACTATAGTCCATGAGGTGATAGTCCATGAGGTGATAGTCCATGGACTATCACCTCATGGACTATAGTCCATGAGGTGATAGTCCATGGACTATCACCTCATGGACTATAGTCCATGAGGTGATAGTCCATGGACTATCACCTCATGGACTATAGTCCATGAGGTGATAGTCCATGGACTATCACCTCATGGACTATCACCTCATGGACTATCACCTCATGGACTATCACCTCATGGACTATCACCTCATGGACTATCACCTCATGGACTATCACCTCATGGACTATCACCTCATGGACTATCACCTCATGGACTATCACCTCATGGACTATCACCTCATGGACTATCACCTCATGGACTATCACCTCATGGACTATCACCTCATGGACTATCACCTCATGGACTATCACCTCATGGACTATCACCTCATGGACTATCACCTCATGGACTATCACCTCATGGACTATCACCTCATGGACTATCACCTCATGGACTATCACCTCATGGACTATCACCTCATGGACTATCACCTCATGGACTATCACCTCATGGACTATCACCTCATGGACTATCACCTCATGGACTATCACCTCATGGACTATCACCTCATGGACTATCACCTCATGGACTATCACCTCATGGACTATCACCTCATGGACTATCACCTCATGGACTATCACCTCATGGACTATCACCTCATGGACTATCACCTCATGGACTATCACCTCATGGACTATCACCTCATGGACTATCACCTCATGGACTATCACCTCATGGACTATCACCTCATGGACTATCACCTCATGGACTATCACCTCATGGACTATCACCTCATGGACTATCACCTCATGGACTATCACCTCATGGACTATCACCTCATGGACTATCACCTCATGGACTATCACCTCATGGACTATCACCTCATGGACTATCACCTCATGGACTATCACCTCATGGGGTGGCCTATCGTCTGGTGGACTATCGCCTCATGGACTATCGTCTCATGGACTATCGTCTCCTGGACTATCGCCTCCTGGACTATTGTCTCCTGGACTATCGTCTCCGAGAATGTGTGAATGGTGTAA